ACTGCATAAACTACATAAATATTGCAAGTAGTTTCTTTTTCAGGAAAACTAACATTTTCCTATTTCTTGATTCTTATACGTGCATTTTGTCGAACTCTTAAAATTATGCAGCTTACAAAAATTTCTTGAATTTTGTACTAAATCAAGAATGTTGATCAAGAATGTGTTATGTAAATATTGTGTGATCATCTAATTTTGTAATGTAGATCAACTACGCTAATTTTAAACAGGTTTTTGTTCTATAGATTTCTATGCAATGATCATCATCCAATGTGATCCAATAGATTTTGTTTATTTTCTGCAAGAAAATAATTCTCACGGTCTTGAGAACTTTTCATAGCCACTTCTTTCGAATATAAATATTTGTTCAAGGATTCTTCCTATTTTCTCTAAAATTTTGCCTTTCTCCAAAAACTATTGTAAATTTTCCTTAGAATATTTTTGACTTTTATTATGGTTCAAATAAACAAAAAGAAGAAGTCTTCTTCCACCTGTCGCAGAGCTTTAGCTCATCAAAAAAAATATTTCAGCGAGAAAGTTTACCAAGGTGAGCTTGGGTATACCTAAGAATGGTGCAGACATGACGGCTTGTGAAGTGAAACGCATTTCATACAGACTTTGTCCTGCTCAATAGATATATGCATCCCACCTAACGTCTGAGAACTATGACAGTATATTCGATCTCATTTAATATGACTGCAGCATATTAACTTTTACCTTCTAAAAATAGAAGATACAAGAACAGTTCAAGAAAAAGCTCCCTTGGAAGAAAATCATGAAGAAGAATCTTTAAAATTCCAATTTGATTTGCTTTCTTCTGAACATGAATATTTGAAAGGTCTACTAACTAAATATTCTTTCCTTTTATCTCAGGAATGTGATACAAATGAAAAACTTGAAGGGACAATCTGTCAGCTTAGAGATGATATTTCATTTATTCGTTCTGTAGTGAATAATTCAATGGTGGAATCAGAATGATTACGAAAATGCAATAAGTTCCTTCGTGATCAGTTGATTGAAAATGGAAAACTTTATAATTTCAATGTGGAACTTGAACCTTCTAATGTCAATCTTACAGGCGATGAATCTTCTCAATTTCTCTAACTTTTCTCTTCTTTCTTTTTTTTTTTTTTTTTTTTTATATTAGTGTATTTTAAAATTTATATTTTTCAATTATTCAATAAAATTTTTTGCACATTGTTGCATTTTGCTTTTTAAATTGTCTAATATTATTTCAAGAGCTGTCAATCACACTGTTGACACT